CACCCCCAAAGAAATGGGGTTTGTCACTAGTGCTCCCAGCTGCAGCTTTCTTTGCCTTCCCCTACTCTATTCCGGCAACCAGAAAAGAGTTGAGTGCCTTTTCCACTTCGGGAAAACCAGCCGTCTTCTTTCAATATACAGTACTCAGAAAGGATGGTCCCTTATTCCAGTTTTGCAAGGTGCCTTGTGCTGTGTGCGGGTTTCCTCCTCTGAGAAAAGCTTTTTTTCCTTTGGTCCTAGATCTAAATGTCATTTAGCAGCCTTAAGTCCTCTCTACATGTTCTATGCTTACGTACAAGGGGTCTCCCTAGACTGCTGTGTCGAGGGCTTGACTAGCATGCAGCAGTGGTCAGAGGGAGCCCTAGAGAGGTGACCGGGCGAATCCACTGATGAGTGCACAGCTGGACGTGCTGGTAGGAGGCAGGGCCGGGTTGGGTAAAGGTCCCTGGCATATGGCTTGAAGGCCACAGCGCTTCTCTGGCCCTTTCTCATTCCCTCTACTTCCTGGAGGCACCTTTCCACCATGTTCTTGCTTCTTCATGGCCTAAAAACCGAGGAGCCAGTCAACCACGGACTGAACTCTCTGAAATCGTGAGCCCAGGGACCCTTCTCCTCTGAGCTGCGTAGTTAGGTACTTGGTGCCAGTGACGAAAAGCTGACTAACAACAGCAAAGGCGGGAAAATGTAGGGAGTGAATGCTGGCAGCTTTGAAAAGAGGCCAAATTCTGGCCAGCCCATTCAATGTCCTGTAACTCCAGGATGAGTCACTTTCCCACAGGGAATATGCAAGAAGGATAATAATAGCAGCCTCTAGGCTGTTCACTTAATCTGTACCCATCCACTGAGCACTGTGTCAGGCTCCGCAGTGCAGAACTGCAAGGTTTAAGTGAAATAACACAGGTACAGTGCTGGGTGCAGGACCGAAAGATATTGAAGGCTAAATTTTAATGAGGAGGCTCTGGCTATAGAGCAGAAGACGCTTCCTCCCACAGCCGCCCCTGGGCAGGGGCCAGCGGTGAGCTGTATTCTGAACAGGGACTCTTGAAATGAGCCCATATGTGTGTGTGTGTGTGTGTGTGTGTGTGTGTGTAAGGGGGCAGTTCGGTGGTAGGACGCTTGTGTACCATGGGTTTATCCTCAGCGTCTCTCTCTCTCTCTCACACACACACACACACACACACACACACATACACACACACACACACACACACGACCTTGTACAATTCATCACTGTCGGCTGAGGTTGACCCCAAATTTCAGATAAGCCCATAGCGCATGTTTCTTGAGCACTTCACAGACATCCTGACGAGTGTGCAGTCACACTCCTGATGAGTGTGCAGTCACACTGTTGTGAGCACCTCCTGAAGCAGCCTCACTGGAGCACTGCTTTACAGAGGAGGAAACGGCGACCCAGCCTCCTCTCTGGGTACCCGAGAGGACCCAGCTAATCCGGGCAGTACTGGGCTCTTGGCCCAGCTGCTCCACTCCAGGACAGGCCCTTGTCCTTACCGTCCTCCTCACCTGCCATCTCATGTCTCTGCGGCCGACTCTAAGTGGCTCCAGGAGGGCATGCTTAGGAAGGCTGAGGCCCGTGGGAGCTTCTCTGGAGACCCTGAATTTCCTGGTTCTCCTTGGGGACGGCCTGCAGACCTGCACCCACGCTGCACCTGCCCTGTGTTTCCCTCTGACGCCAGCGAGGCCAAACCTGCTCATCCTGAGAGGCAGGGCCGGCCTGCTGAGTGGAGGAGCCAGTGGGGTGGCGTGGGAGGCTGAGGCCTGACCCGGGGTGCCAGGTGGGTGGGGCCCCGCTGCCGAGTCTGCTGTGACACCGGCTCAGTGCTACCCAGGCATGTGAGGACACAGCCTCCTTTCAGGTGCCCTGTGCCCACCTCAGTGCCCCGCTTGTTCTGTCTTGAAATTCTGCCTGATTTTTGCATCGGGGCCCCACATTCTCATTCTGTGGTGGGCCCTGCGGGATGTAGCTGGTCCTGCCGGAGCCCCACTAAAGCCTCAGGCCCTGCCTCCCAGGGGACCCAGTGGAAGGGACATCGAAGCAGGGATGGTGATTTCAGGGCCCAAATTCCCGAGATTAGTGCAGGTGGGGGTGTAGGAAGCTGGAGAAGGAGGTCATGGCTTCCTCGGGTGAGTGGGAGGGTGCAGGAAAGTCAGCTAGGGGCTCTGGAAGTGTGGGCTATGAGGTTACCTGAAGTCCGGGACCAGCCTCAGCCGGGGTGGGGGGGGGGAGGTGTGCACTGCATGCGCACACATGCACACACACACACACACACACACACACACACACACACACACACTCATGCTTGCCTGGTGCTGGGATCAAGCCCAAGGCTTCACCATCAGCCATTTAAAACCTGTTTCTCAGTTCCTCCCCCACACAGCAGGACCTGACACCCCGATGCTCACCAGTGAGAACAGCAGAGGTGAGGTCAGGTCCAGCGCACGAACCTGCTCTCCCTGCCCCACAGGGAGCAAAGTTGGCAGGGGAGTCCAGACCGGTGGGGAGACCACAGCCCGAAGCCCCATCTTACTGACCTCCTCCTTCCACGTCCACCCCACCAATGCTGGCGCAGGACACCTGCTCGGGCAGGAGCAGTTCTGTCCTCGGGCAGGCCCAGCCGCCTGGGCCAGCAGCCTATGGCCTCCCCTTCCCCAGCTCCAGCCTCGTGCTCTGCCTGCTGCTTCCTGTCCTCCAATGGCCTGAGGCACCCGAGTCCTCAGTGTCGCCTGTGACTCAGGTCAGGCCGCCCCAGTCCTCCCCTTACAACCCTGCACGCCTGGTCACCTCTCCTCTGCCTTTCCACCCCAGGTCCTTTCTGCTTCCTGCCCGCTCACCAGTTAGAACTGACAATGCCATGCATCTGCTCGAGTTTGGGGTTCCATGATGCCCTGGAGCCACAGCCACCCCGTGGCTTCCCGGCCTGAGCTATTTTTGCTTCGAGGCTCCTTTCCTTCATTACAAAAAATTTTTCAAATTACATTTTACAACTGTGATAGCATAAAGTAGGTATAATCAAGTCTGGAGGGTGCTCTTTTAAATTACTTCTTGTTTAAAACTAAGATGGCAACTAAGGCAAAGAAGGAAGCTCCCACCCCTCCCAAAGTTGAAGCCGAAGCCAAAGCCTTGGAGGCCGAGAAGGCCGTGCTGAGAGGCGTCCACAGCACAGAACAAAGGAGATCCACATGACACCCACCTTCCCAGACCCACGACACCGGGCTCTGGAGGCCCAAACACCTGGGAGAAGCAGGCTTGGCACTGTGCCATCGTCAAGCTCCCCGGGCCATGCGTCAGCCACGAGGAAGACAGGACAACAGCGCACGGTGTTCCTCGTGGTGTGGAGGCCAGCAAGCACCACATCCAGCGAGCTGTGCAGAAGCCCTGTGACCTTGGTCAGCACCCTTAAGGCCTGATGGGGGAAAGGGCTGGTGCCTGACTGTCCCTGACTGTGACACTCGGTACCACCAACAAAATCAGGATCATATAAGCTGAGTCCAGCTAGGTATAAATACACATTTTTTTTTCTCCAAAAACCAAAGCAAACAAATAAAACAACTATCTACCTGGGTGTGGTGGTGCACACACGGAATCCCAGCAACTCAGGAGGCTGAGGCAGGAGGGTCCTAAGATCCAGCCCAGCCTGGGGAACTTAGTGACACTCTGTCCCAAAATAAAAAGTGGCTGGGGAGTAGCCTAGGGTAGCACATCCCCGGGTTCCAGCCCCAGCACCATGAGAAAAAAAAAGGAAGCACTTTCCTGGGTCCCTGAGGGAGAGCAGCCTCCGGGCGCGGCTCTCCCGAGCCCTTGCAGGAGCCAGCTCTGCTCCAAAGGCCCGGCTGACACCCTGTCTCTTGGGTAAGCCACACCGCAGGCGCCTTTTAAAAACCATATTGCTTTTACTGGAAAAAGACAGTTATGAAGAATATTTTTATGAAAAATGACAGCTCCGTCCATCCCTAACTGAGTGGCCTGCTCCCTTGTCTGGAGGCAAATCTATTCTATATGAGCATCCTCTGTAGGCCAGGAAGGTTGTGTCCTGCCTTCTCCACTCTCCAGGCCTTTCTGGGAGACGTCCCCCTGTGTCCAGATGGTCTGCTCAGCCCTCGGCTCAGCTGCCGGTTTCTCCTCACTCCTAACTTTGGTCCAGGCTGTGCGAGCCATTTCTAAACCTCCTGCCCCGGGCAGCACTCAGCTCTCAGCCTGAGGCCCAGAAGGAAGGTGAGCTTTGCAGGTGTCCTTCCAAAAGACCACTGGTGCTCAGGACCCTGCCCCCTGCCCCCTGCCCTCCCCATCACCCTGCGCTGCCTGCTGCAGAGACCAGCTGGCTGTGCTCCCTGCACTCTGGGAACAGAGCGGATGGTCAGCATCTGATTGATCTGACCACCTGACTTTACAGACGAGGAGACTGGGCATCAGAAACGTTAGCAGACTTGATCACAATCATCGAGCCAGTGAGAAGGGATTTCCAGGTTGGACCCTTAGACCCTGAAGATATTTTTTTATTCAGACAGGGCCACACTATGTAGCTCTTGAACTCTCATAGCCCAGACAGACCTCAAACTCCGGGTGATTTTCTTGCCTCAGCCTCCTGAATGCTGGGATTACAGACATGCGTCACCACACCCAGTGGGCCCCAAAGACATACTCTTCCCTGAAATTAGGCTTTTGGAATTTGATGAAAAGCACCGTTAGTTTATGCTGCTGGGCCATTAGAGTGTGCGCTTATGTTACAGCGTTAGCTTTATAATTATGTTGGTCCTGTTTTATCTTAACATTACTGTGATAGGAAGCCAGAAGTAAAACAGGACAGGACAGATTTGATCAAGGCGGCGCTCCTAGACGGCCTGGCTTGTCACGGCAATGTGCTTAGCCAATGCTTATCCCCCCTCGGGCCAAACCCACACCTTCTCCGAAAGGTCATTTTGCCTCTGGACTCTGCTGACTCCCTGGTCAGCGAGGCCTCCGACGGTCATGTCAGTGACCTTACCTGTTCAGAGACAGGGAGCAGACCAGCCTTTGTCCCAGAATGGCCAGGCCGACGCTGGTGCTGGCGACCTGCAGACAAAAGCGTTGGGTGCTGATCAGCGCCGCTTCCCACTGAGCCCAGAGATGTCACCAAGAAGGCGCATGGAAAATCCTGTCTTTCAGGGCGGGAAACTAACCCATTGGCTACTGTTCAGGGCTCTCCGTTACATTATTTTTTTCTTTTCACCTAATCCAGTCTCCTCTTTCCAGCTCTGATCCTGCTTAGGCTCTAGCATCGGTTTTTTCTGTCAGAGCTTCTATCTAGCCAAGAGGATAAAGTGAGTTCCACTTTGACTGCTTTGTTTTGAGGAAAAAGAAATTCAGGGCCAAGTCACTGCAGGGCGGGAAGGACTGGAGAGATGTTCACCGTGTGTGCGGTGGAGCCCTGGCCTCCAGCCCCTGCCCACGCTTCCCGGAAGCAGGGGGACCTGGGCAGGGCCCCCACTGTGGGTGGCTGAGTGAGCCCCAGACCGCCCGCCCTAGGCGGGGCTGTTAGCTGGCTCTGTAATCTCTCTTTCTGCCTCGTGGTCAGACAGGGATGCTTGGTGATGCCTGGCCCGAGCCCCTTCCCCAGCCTCCCCCAGAAACACACCCAGAGCATCCCCAGCTCTCTCCTTTCCACACGGGGCAGCCTGGGGAGCAAGCGCCTTCTCTTCCCAGAATGCACTGCATGGTGGGTGCACCCCACTCTCAGCTCTGCGTTAACTGGGGTGTCAGACCCACCCCTCCAAGCATGCAGAGGCTGCCGGTCAGCGGTCCACTGCAGAGACCACCGACACCCACAGGCCGCGCCCCCCCTCCGGACTCACGAAGTCCATGGAGACGATGGGCTCCACCTCCGTGGCGTTCCTCCGCTGTGTGAGCACCACGACGGAGGCGGGGATGTCCAGCGTGAAGTTGCCCGGCTGCAGGTGGACGACCGGCGGCTCCGTGGCCATGATCCGCAGCACGAGGGGCTGCGACAGGATGTAGAGATCTGCGATCTGCCCCATTTGGGGCAGGAAATGGAGACCGAGATCGTGAGCCCCCGAGTGGGAGTCACGGGTCGGGGCGGCCTGCACAGACCAAGCCTGGCGGGCGCAGTCACCCTAAAAAACCTGTCAGTGGGAGCGGGGATCACACTGGAGCCCCGGGTAATAGCCGCCGACCTTTCTGGTGCACAGAGCATCCAGCTCCAGGCCGTGGGCTTCCGGCCTCCCTGTAAACCTCACAGTCCCCAGGCGGGTTCTCATCACCGTGCCTGCCTGCAACGGCGGCCTGGAGCACTAAAGAGACCAGGTGAGTTCTCAAGGTTCCGGGTCGGGACTGGCACTGAGCCTCAAACCCACGTTGTGTCTGGCTTGAGCTCCTTCCCCCGAAACACCTTCGCTCCCTAAGGGAAACTTGCAGGTCTGCCTTGTCCACTACTTAGCCTTCAATGAAGGTACGGAATGAACAGGTGATTTAGGGAAGTCACAGATGTGGGCATTAATCTTTCCCTTCAGGATTAAATTCTTTATTAAAGCTAATATATCCTTAATTTAAGGTCTTTTTTTTTTTTTTTTTTTTGAGACAGGGTCTTGCTATGTAGTTCAGGCTGGCCTTCAATTTATTATGTAGCCTAGACTAGGCTCAAATTCGTAGTGACCCTCCTGCCCCAGCCTCCTGAGTGCTGGGATTACAGGGGTGCACCACCCTCGAGGTTTGTATTTAATCTACTGACTTCAAGTGTGGTAGAACCTTGGGGAAGGCACAGATTATTTTACGGATTTACAGTGACTTTAATTGTCATGTACTTTACACCTTAGCGTTTAGAGAGTATTTGATTAAGAGGGAAAGAGAACTCTGAAGAAAGGAAAGATGGACTTGTTCCTGGGCCAGAAGGAAAATGACAAACCCGCACGTCTTCTGGAAACAGCCACAATGGGCACAGCACACTGCCCGGGCGTCGAAGCCAGAGCACTCACCCGGGAGAGCACGCTGCCGATGCCTTGGGAGTTCAGGAGGAAGTGCTCGGAGATCTGCAATGCAGACAGCGGCGTCGCTGTAAGATTTTACCTCGACTGGCTTTTTAGGAAGGACCTGGGGTTCCCTGTAACTCGATGTATGCTGAAGCTGTTGTACCCTAAAATGTCTAGGGGCCCTGTCAGCCTCCAGCCCAAGCCCAGGGAACCTGAGGAAGCAGGAGCTATAAACAGAGCAGTGAAGGAAGCCGGCCCAGCGCACACGGGAAGCCGCCCCCTTCCAGCAGGCGCTGGGCACCACGGGCACCCGGCGATGCCACGGATGGCGCACACGCTCCACTCACAGACATCCTACGGGCACTGACGACAAGCCTGGCGTTATCGCCCTTGCTTTCTGATGTCGCTGAGATTCAGGGTGCTTACATAATTTATCTCCATACACGAACGGTTTTCAAGGCAGAAACTTAAAGCGTCTAATTTTCAGTACCTTAAAACAGCGGGCATGGCCACACATCTAAGCCTGGTATACGTGAGACGCACAGGAGAAGATCTGAGAAGGACCCTCAGCTGGGGACACAGCTCAGTGGCACAAGCGCCTGCCTGGCAGCGTGAGGTCGTAAGTTTTCAGTTAACTGGCAGAGGCTTGTTCTCATTATGCCCATAGAGTCAGTGCGCGTCTGCACAGTTACTGGTCACTGCTGGTGACAAATCATTGGTCTGGACGCCTGTGTGAACCTGTTAATGCCTTCGGGAGTGTGAGTGTGGGGCCACGTGCTCCCCTTCCCAAATGGGGAAACGGGCACACAGAAGCTAAGCTAAGTGGCCGCAGGCAGCCACAGGGCAGGGAGGCCTCCACATTCAAGTCAGTCTATTACAAAGAACCGAAGTCAGCAGAACGGGAGTCCGGCTGCTCTCTGTGGACCCGCAGCGTGCGGTCCACGACCTTTCTCTGTTGCCCTACAAGGAGTGATACTAAAAAGGCCCAGGAATGGGCACAATGACGTAAAGCCCCACAGCCGCACGTGTGAGGTGACCCCGGCGATGGACGGCCAGCTCTGCTTACCTCCCTGGTGGACAGCGTGACGCTGAAAGCACCGGCGGTGAAGTGCGCCAAGGACGCCGACTGGAGGACGGACTTGGAGACGCCGATGTACAGCATGGAGTCCAGGCGCTCGGGCAGCTCGAAAGGCTCGGGAGACAACGGTGGGTCGGCGAGGTCGTCCAGCGGGAGGAACACGCCCTGAAGGAGAGCAGGGGGTCACCAGGCGCAGACCAAGCCCGCGGGCGGAAGGCGGACCCTCTCTGGCCAGGCCGGGAGCAGCTCGGACGCCGCTAGCAGGTGATGGATGGAGCTCGGCTGGCTGCAGCAGCCGCCTGTGACCAGGTCCTGAGGCCCCCACTGCGGTGTCCAGGGAGGCCCTGGGAAGGGCCCGGCACGCAGAGGCACAAGGCATTTTGAGGAATTCTAACGCTGTCCTCAGTCGCTGAGGGTGTTGTTACAGATGCCATGTGGACCAACACTGAGCTGATTGCAAGGCTGAATGAGAGAAATGTCACCTGCTCGGGGAGAGACAGTGGCAGTAACTAAGCCTGCCGGCTTCTCCGGGGCCCATGAATGTGCGTCCGTGGCCTCAGCCCTGGTACACAGGCCAGCAGCCCCCAGCCAGCTCCGCCAGGCTGCGAGTTAGGAAGACAGGTGCCAACGTAGGCGACCTACACACACACACACACACACACACACACACACACACACAAACACACGCTATGTCCGCACAAGCGCAGACCCTGCACCCGAGCTCGAACAGCTGAGAGGCAGACAGAGACCATCCAGAAAGGGAGAGGCACACAGCCGAGAGGGGCTGAAGGAAACTGGCTTGTTTGAGGGGATGTGTGTTTTCTCCCACATGTAAGTTTCGTTCTCCGAGTGTCAGCTGTGGAAGAGATAAGGAGTCTGAGAAAGACAAAGTTACCTTCAGATTCAGGTCAAGGTACTGCTCGGTAATCTCTGGAGGACTGGTTAGGGAGCAGTCCAGCAGCGTGAAGTTGTCGATCTTGGTTAAAACTAAATGGCAAAAACACAAGAAAGAAAAGAAGGAGAGAGAGAGAGAGAGAGAGAGAGAGAGAGAGAGAGAGAGAGAGAGAAAGAAATTGATTTCAATAAAGCTAGATGTAAGATAAATAAAGGCCCAAACCTTATTTTTAGTTTTCTATTTAAAATGTGGCAATTTTCTTCTTCCACAAGTTAATATCTGTTACTTTTGAAGAAAAATTTCAAAAACAAAAGGTAAGTCAAAAGAGAAAAATAAAAACCTTTCCTCAACCAGGTTACTTTAAGAGGCAATGTATACACACAATACATACATAGTTGTTTTTTGTTTTTTTGTTTTTTGAGCAGGGATCTCACTATGCAGCTCAGGCTGGCCTTGAACTCACTATATTGCCCAGGCTGGCCTCAAACTCTTGGCCACCCTCCTGCTTCAGCCTTCCGAGTGCTGGGATTACCAACACGGGCCACCATGCCCAGCTTTATATTAAAAAGGAAACCAGTACAAAGACCTTTACTAATATTAAGCTGTACATACTGGGTTAAGAGCCTTTCAGGCTCGATGTTATAGATTTCATTGTAGTTAGAACTTCATTTTTTAAAAAATAATGAGCATGCATTTACTGTTGCAATTACAAGCAATCTTTTCTTTCTTTCTTTCTTTTTTTTTTTTTTTTTTGAGACACTGTGAGACTTAAAATAAAATCCAGGGAAATTCTCATGCACGATGCTACGTTTTTAGATTAGCATTTCAGACCAAAACAGAGCTGCAATTGCATTGCCAGTGCTGTGGCACCAGGAGGTGAGGGCCTCTAAGGCACAGTTAGGTAATGGTGCACCAACCCCGGAGGGGGACGAACACCATTACTCTGTGTGCAGGTTTGTGACAGATCCAGCCAGAGCGATGTCCCGTCATGCACACTCACTTGCCTGTCTGTCACACCTCGACTCTGCACAGCCCTGCAACTCCTGACCTTGGGTTTCCTGGTTCCAGAACCATGAGACAAATAAATTTCCACATTGATAATCTTCCTGGCTCATGCCAGGGGAAGAGGCCCAAGATTAGCCAGGTCTGGCAGCAGCCCTGTCCTACCCCTTGGCTGGGCTCTTCCCCTAGCGTGGCCTGCTGGGGAGTGGCTTTCCTGGCCACAGCAACCTCTTCAGCCCCTCCCTGCCCTGTCTGTCTTCTGACCACGCATCCTGGCATCCTGGCTGGGCATAGATTTGACGGCCCACTTGGCTTCCTGTTTGCTCCCCCCACTCATGCCGGGAGGCAGGATTGTTGCCTCCTACCATTGTAGCCAGTGCCCAGCAGTGTCCAGCAGACCCCAGATGCTCAGGACATTGGTGAATGAGGGGGTGGAGTGCAGAGAGAGCATGTGGAGGGTGTCGTGTGCACAGGAAGTGTCACTGGGGGATGCAGCTATTGAACGACTTGGACCAAATAGAGGGCAGGCAGCCTGAGGGTTAGGGTGGGAAGGACCATGACGTGCAGGGACCAGCAGGGTGCAGGCCGACACAGGAGCTGGGGGATGGGGGGGGTGCAGGGCCGACACAGGAGCTGGGGGATCGGGGGTGCAGGGCCGACACAGGAGCTGGGGGATCGGGGTGCAGGGCCGACACAGTAGCTGGGGGGGTGCAGGGCCGACACAGGAGCTGGGGGATCAGGGGGTGCAGGGCCGACACAGGAGCTGGGGGATCAGGGGGTGCAAGGCCGACACAGGAGCTGGGGGATGGGGGTGCAGGGCCGACACAGGAGCTGGGGGATCAGGGGGGGGATGCAAGGCCAACACAGGAGCTGGGGGGGGTGCAGGGCTGACACAGGAGCTGGGGGATCGGGGGGTGGTGCAGGGCCAACACAGGAGCTGGGGGGGGTGCAGGGCTGACACAGGAGCTGGGGGTGCGGGGGGTGCAGGGCCGGGAGCTCCTCTGGCAGAGCGGGCCTTCCAGCAGGGCAGAGACCACCCCTGAGGGAGAGCTGCAAGTGGCCGCAGGGACATTGAGCCATTGAGCAGAGGCAGTGTGCAGCTGCTCTTTGGGGCCCAGGAGGAAGTGTGGAGACCTGACACTGACAGTGGCCACTGTGGGGAGCACCCTTGTGGAGGCCAGTGTTAAGTACTCCACAGGCGAGCTGTGCTGACTGCCCCTAGCTTGGAGCTCAAGCTGGGAGTCGTTTAACTCCTGGCCTGCACCTCTAAGAGGTGCTGAGTAACCAGGGGACCCCATGCTCAGGCAGCGTCCTCCTACACAAATCCCAGGACTTCAGTGGTGCACATCTGTCATCCCAGTGCTCAGAAGGCTGAGGCAGGAGGATTGCTGTGAGTCTGAGGCCAGCCTGGGTTACGTGGTGAGACACTATCTCAAAAAAAAAAACCAAACCAAAACTAAAACCACAAATGCAGGGTGAGAGGAGACAGGGAAGAGCAGGTGCTCCATGCCTGGAAAGCAGAGCTGGGGGCAGCAACTGAAGGTGGGCTGGGGGCCACCCGGGGGCCCGTCCCGACACTCACCCTCCAGGGAGCTGAGGTTGGCATTCAGCGCTTCCACCTCGCCTGAGATGATGGGACAGAGCTGCGGCAAAGCACAGAAACAAGCACGTGGTCAGACAAAGGCTGCGCTGGCCGCGGTGCTCCCTTGTTAGGTGGGCCCTAGAGGGGCGGGGCCACCGAGCCCTGCGAAGGCCCTCAGCCACCAGCCACACATGTGTGACCCATCGGGACCAGGCCCGGGGGCTTCCTCTCGGTGCCACCTTAGGGCACCTGTCACTGTCACACCCGAGGAGATGCGTCCTCCCTGAGCGCCAGAGTGGCTGCATCCAGGCCCGTCCTTTAGCCTGGGTGGGCTGGAGCCTGCAGAGAGAGAGAGAGAGAGAGACAGACAGACAGACAGACAGACAGAGAGACAGATGAGAGAGAGAGAGAGACAGCTGGAACCTCTGCTTCCCCTCTTCCTGAAGGGGTGTGAGCTGTGCCCTGCCCGGGAAAGGCCAGGTCTGGCCGTGTGCCTGCTGGGTGAGCCCCTGGTGTGCTTGGCACCATTCACACTGCCGGAGTCCATTTCTGCAATTTCTAATCCTCGTGTAAGGAGGAGCCCAATCCAGGCCCCATGCACCTATCCGTTCCCAAGCCAGGTTCGGTTTTTCTAGACAGACAAATTTATTCCTCCGGGAGCCCAAGCACATGAGAGGCACAGAATAAGCAGACTCTTGTTGCCCTCTTGCCCATCCCATGATGGGTAACTTCAGGGCAGGGGTGCTGGTCTCCTCTCTGTGGCCCCAAAGCCCATGATGGTGTTTGACACACAGCACGCAGTGGCAACGTGTTCACAAGTGCCTTGGCCCAGGCGCGTATACAGCAGGCGCTCAATAAAGGCGCATGGATTAAAAATTTGATTAGGACGGCAGACCTGCCACTGATGCCTCTGGTGTTGCCCAGCCCCAAAGACTCACCATTGCGTTTAAGTTCTTTAAAATGAGCTTCTCCAAGGGGTCTGAGAAGGTGTTGTACAGGGCACTGGGGAAGGAAGGAAAGAGCCCCCTAAGGTGTGGTGACACGCCTCCACAGGTGTGGAGTCCCGCTGCCACGCAGCCCCACTCACCTCAGCTCCCCCACGAAGGAGACGTGGGCATGGCTCACTTGGGCGTGGCAGTCCTGGAGTCCCAGAGCCGGGTGGCCAAAGGCGAGGCGGGTCGGGAGGATGACTCCAGTGAAGTAGACTCCCGACAGGAGGAGGTTGGCTCCGCCCCTGTCGTGGCTGTGAGAGGGGGGCGCGGTGAGGCCAAGCTGGGCCAGGCGGGAGGGCGGCTGCCTCTGGAGACACAGCCCTTGTGGGTCCTGTCCTCTCCCCACTCTGCAAGGCTGGAGTTCTAGAGGCGGGGGATGGGGCATGGAGGGTGCTCTGCGGTTGTAGAGTGACCCCACGAGCGAGTGTCACTCGGGCACCTGCACGGCAGGCCTGCACCTGCACCCGGACCCCAGGCGCAGACTTTACAGTCACAGCTGTTCCTCTCTCTCTGTCTCTCTCTCTCTGTCTCTGTCTCTCTTCATGGCTTAAACGACATTTGCTCAGTCAGTCGCTCTGCTTGTAAGGGACAGACACAGCTTCCACCCGCTCCCAGGCAGATTCCCTGATTTAAATCACATCTGGGAGAAACACTCCCGAGGGCACTGTGGCTGCCAAAAGAAGCCTAAGGACGGGGATGTGGGTGCCCGCCTGCCATCCAGCATGCAGCAGCCTGAGGCGGAGGATTGCTGCACGCTAAGGCCAGCCTGAAACACACGAGATGGTATCTCAGAAACTGCAGCAGAGAGCAGCTCTCCCGGCCCGTCACGGCAGTGAACTAGGACCGTGTGCCCTCCCGTTCTCACTCCACACCAGCCCCGACCGCAGCGCCCTTGGCGGGGTACTCACAAGAGCGGAGTCCTGACCTCCCAGTCCGCGCTGACGTTGGCCGTGCCGTGGTTGGTCAGTGCTCGGATGCCCACCCCGGGCACGAAGGCCAGTGAAGTGTTGGGGAACGAAAAGGCATGGATTTTTATGCTGTAAGACAAGAAGCAGGGCATGAGGGCGACTCCACACGGTTCCAGGTCAAGGGCTGTGGGTCCCCGACTCCCCGTCCGCTCCCCAGGAAGCCCTGCTCCCGAGGGGAGCAGTGAGCGCCTTCCAAAGGAAATCTGCAAATAATCAAGCAGCCGATTCTTTGAACCAGGCCGACAGAAGGGCAATGCCGCTTGTTCCTTTAGCAACGCCAGTGATTTGTGAAGGGTGGTATTCGGAATTTGGACGAGCAGCTGTTGTGCCCAGGACATCTGGCACAAGCACCGGCAGTGTCCCTCCCCTCCAGGCATGGTGACCGCCCCGAGCGCCTTCCTGTTTCCAGGTGACCTTGATGTGGCCAGGACTCCTTAGGTGACAGGCTGGCTGGAGAGGTGGCTTCCCGGGGCTCCCTGGCCTGCCACAGTAACCCTCGGTCTGTGGGAGCACAGGGCTGGTGCTGACCAGGTAGGTGGATGGCCATGCTCGTGGTGACAAATTCTTCCCACCCTCTACAGCATGATCGCTCCCCACTGGGCAGAGGCGGACACTTCTGGGGTGGATTTTGTAATCTCCAGCCCAGGGAAGATATGACAAAAGCGGCCCAAGTCCCTGAGATATAAACTAGGCTGCCGCTCCCCAGCCTGAAGTCACCGGGACTCTAAGCACCAGGCCATGTTGCTTCCTGTGTCCTGGGAGCCCAGCTCCATCTCCTTTGTGCAGCCTGGACTGAGACGCTCAGTCTTCCTGCTCGCCTGCACCCTGTACCTGTTCCCAGCCTGCTCCACCTCCTCTCCCCAGGCTCCGGCTCCAGGAGCCACTATCCTGTCTGCTGCTCCACAAAGTCATCTTCACATGTCACGCTTTTTTAAAAAATGTATTGTCTTTCTGAGACAGGGGGTCTCACTATGCAGCTCAGGCTGCTCTTGAGCTCACTTTGTAGCCAAGGCTGGTCTTGGATTGCAGCGATCCTCCTGCCTCAGCCTCTCAGGTGCTGGGATCACAGGTGTGCGCCATCACGCACACCTTCATTTGCCCATCCCTGGTAGACACCTCTGTTGATTCCATATCTTGGCTGTTATTAATGGTCCTGCAGTAAACACTGGAACAAACGCAGCTGTTCAAGGTTCCATTTCCTGCAGGTGTCATCAGTGGCGGGACTGCTGTGTTACACGGCAGCTCTGCTTCTGGTGTTCTGAGCCACCACCGCTGTCACACTGCTTTCCACAGTGGCCACACTAATTTACACCCTGACCAGTGACCATGAAGGAGAGGTCCCCTTTCTCATGCAAACCAAAGCAACACTGAGATCCCATCTTACTCCAGAAAGACTGGTGGCACGGCTTCAACCCCAGCACCCGGAGGCTGAGGCACTGGGGTCACCGTGAGTCGGAGGCCGGCCTGGGCTACACACTGAGTTCAAGGCCAGCCTGAACTGCTGAGCAAAGCCCTAAAGATAAATAAATCATTAATAAGCAAAATGAAGATGGCCAAGATGTGATCTGTGTGTGTATCAACTGCACCAGGCAAATGTGATCATTGTGTGTCACCAATGCACTAATGAAAATGTCTTCTGACCTACAGCCTCTGTGGGGTGACCCTGCGGAAGAAGGTTCGTCCTGAGTGGTAAGAAGGGAGCTGCTCCTTGCTACACTAAGATGCTGAAAAATTAAAATAGCTGATTAAAAGATAATTAGCAAAAATAGTTAGTTAAAAGGTTATTAGCGGTATTGTCATTCTGTACTGAGCTCATTACCCTAGTAACCAAGCACCAACCACGTAGTTATAGATTAACTGACGGCATCATCATGCTGTTCTGTATGCGTCGTTCCCCGCCCCCCACCTTAGTAACCTGTTTGCTGTGTCAACCATTGTTCCCTTTATGAGGCACAAATGTTCCTGGAATTGGCAGATCAAGGGCTGTGAATTGGCTAACCACCCACTGTGAAATGTTTCTGACCTCAAGCAAAGGGGATCAAAGGCCCACCTTGTATCTGTTTTTCATCACTATGTACTTAATGATCAATGAGCTAATCCTAAATGAACTATAAAAACCAGTCAAAATTCTAACTCAGTCACACAGCTTTGCAAATTCCATCTGCACTGTGTCCCTGGGCCAGTTAAAATAAAAGTGCTTCTTCTTAAAACAATGTCATTTTGCCCCGTTTTCTTTTCATCTCAGGGGTCTTGCCCAATCTTTCATCTCAGGGGCCTTTTTAGGGAAGTACAACATTTGGGGGCTCGTCCAGGCCACCCCCTCCCCACATTTTTTTCACCGATCTATCGGCTTGAACCATCTGTAAGTATTTGGGTCTTTTGTTCTTTGTAATTTGCGTGCGCACGTTTGAAGCTGCAGACGAGCTTGGCTGGCTCTTTCTGCACTGGAGCAGGATGCCCTCCGGGGCTGGGCTTCTAGCCTATTTGTGATTTGGGACTTTTTGCCTTTTTGGTTTTGTGCTTGGTATATTTTTACTGTGAAGCCATTTGTTCATTTAAATTTAAATCTGTTACCTCAGTACTAACATTCAGGTTTTTTTATTTCTCTTAAACTATTGTTGCAGGTTCCATGTGGCTTCTTGGACTTGGGGGTTATAACGAAAATTGTTTCCCTGTAAGTCACCAGACAACTGTGGATCGAGAAGCCTTTGTGTGTGTGTTTTGTGTTTTTCTTGTTTTCGGTGGTGCCTTGTGTTGTGTTATTGTCACTGACTGGGTATTAATAATTATGGGCCAGGCATCATCATCAGAGCCCTTGTCTCCCCTGACCCTGGTTCTTAATCATTTCAGAGATTTCAAGGATCGAGCCCAGGGATATGGAGAACCAGTACGTTCTGGGAAGCTCTGTATTTTCTGGGAGCTTGAATGACCTGCTGGGGTTCCTAACTGGTCCCCGGCAGGTAGTTTTAATCTCTCCATAGTTCAGGCTGTCCAACAATATGTCTTTGGACTCCCAACCCACCAAGACCAGATTGTGTACATTCTGGTTTGGATTGATCTCATTTGTGATCCACCTTCTTGGCTTAAAAGGTTTCTTAAGACATCTGAGCTTCATTTTAAGAACCCCTCTCTCCTGGCATCTCTGAAAGCGAAACCAAAGCCTGAGTCTGAGTTATGCCCGATTCTCCCTGCCAAGGAAGAAGAACCTCTGCCGCCGCCTTACCGGCCTTCAGCACTGATGCCTGCTCCTCCTGAACCAGTACCCCCTTCTCACCTCCCTAGCCCTATCCGAAGCAGACGTTATCAGCGTTCGGAATCACCTGATTCCTCCACCTCAACTCCTGCCCTTCTTCCTCTGCATGAGATCCCTAACTCTGAGGATCCCTCTGCCCCAATATTTACCTATGTCCCATTTGTTACTTCTGACCTTTACAATTGTAAACAACAAAACCCCCCTTTTCCTAAGGATCCTCAAGGCATTATTTCTCTTTTGGAATCAATCTTTTCCACCCACCGTCCCATTTGGGACGATTGTCAGCAGATTTTGCAGGTCTTGTTCACAGTGGAGGAGAGGGAACGCATCCGCATGCTAGGATGAAAAGCAGTGCGTGATCCTGATGGGAAATCATCCTCTAATCCCGAATGCCTGAACCATGATTTCCCTTTGTCCCGACCTGACTGGAATCCTAACACAACTGAAGGTAAGGAGGCTCTCGTTTGGCATCGCTAGTTGTTCCTAGAAGTCCTTAAAGTAGCTGCTAGACAACCCACCAATGTGTCCAAGGTCTCAGAGGTAAGGCAATTAGCTGAGTCTCCCTTGGGGTTTCTGGAAAGGCTACAGGAGGCCTATCGCATTTATACCCCTATAGATACGGTGACACCTGAAAATGCAAGGGCCATTAATATTGCCTTTGTGACTCAGTCGGCCCCAGAGGTTAAAAGAAAATTGCAAAGGCTTGAGGGGTTTGAGAGGATGCCTCTTAGTCAGTTATTAGAAATAGCTCAGAAGGTATTCAACAACCATGAAGATCCCAGAGATCGAAAATTGACAAAGGTACTAGAAGTATTGACTGAGAAAGTAACCAAAACGGATGCAAAGTCTCGCCCACCTATGGATAAAAATCAATGTGCCTACTGCAAGGAAATGGGACACTGGCAAAGGGACTGCCCCAAGCTGAAGGCCAAATCGGAAAGGGAAGCCAAGGCTCTATTGTCCCGTGATTAGGGAAGTCAGGGCTCTCATGCCCCCCCTGAGCCCAGGCTAACTCTGTCTGTAGGGGACCAATCAATTGATTTCTTAGTGGACTCCGGAGCTGCTCATTCAGTTCTGACTTGGCCCATAGGGTCCCCTATGGGAAATAAATTAAAGGTATTAGGAGCTACCAGCACTGCAAGGGTATATCCTATATCCTTGTTGCTCCCAACGGAACCTGGTTTGCCTGTACTTCTGGTGTAACTCCTTGTTCTATGCATCACCTGTTCACCCACCACCCTGAGCTTTGCATATTAGTCCATATCTTTCCCCAAGGGTACTGGTACTCTGGAGATAATGGTAGGTCTCACTTGTTCCCTAGCTTTGACTTAAAGAGTCCAGTCTGAGTGAAGAGAAATCCTGTACTCTTACCCATGTTACTTGGAGTTGGGTTGGCAGGGTCAATAGGTTTAGGAGTGTCCAGCTTAATAATTGGAAACCAAAATTATAGACACTTAAGTGCACTCATTAACCAAGATCTAGCAGCCCTCAGTGACTCTGTCTCCAGATTAGATGATTCTTTAAATTCATTGGCTGAGATGGTTTTACAAAACCGGTGGGGTCTAGATCTCCTGTTCCTAAAGAAAGGAGGCCTCTGTCTGGCATTAGGAGAAAACTGTTGCTTGTATTCCAATCATTCTGGGGTTATCTGACAAAGTATGGTCAGCCTTAGAAGGCAGCTACAGGAATAAGAACAAGCCAGACTGGCTGAGCAAAATTGGTTTGAATGATGGTTTTCTGTATCTCCCTGGTTGACAACGTTAATCACAGCAACCTCCGGACCTCTGTTAATCTTATTTACTTGTTTAACAATTGGACCTTGCATTATAAACAAATTAGTAAATTATGTCAAAAATTGGGTTCAAACAATAAAACTCATGGTTTTAAGGACACAAGTTTATGAACAAATACTTCTGCTTGAAAACTCCATGAGCCAATGATTTGGACCACTGACAAAAATCAGTGGGGAATGTTATATTAAGATGGTGAAAAATTAAAACAGTTGATGAAAAGATAATTAGCAAAAATAGTTAGTTAAAAGGATAGTTATTAGTAGTATTGTCATTCTGTGCTGAGCTTGTTACTCTAGTAACCACGCACCAACCACATAGTTATAGATCGACTGACCACTTTGTCATGCTGTTCTGTATGTGTCGTTCCCCAAGTAATCTGTTTGCTGTGTCAACCTTTGTTCCCCTTGTAAGAGACAAATGATGCTGTGTCAACCATTGTTCCCTTTATGAGACACAAATGTTCCTGGAATTGGCAGACCAAGGGCTATGAACTGGCTAACCACCCACTGTGAAATGCCTCTGACCTCAAGCAAAGGGGAACAAAGGCCCACCTTGTTTCTGTTTCTCATCACTATGTACTTAATGATCAATGAGCTAATCATAAATGAACTATAAAAACCAGTCAAAATTCTAACTGAGTCACACAACTTTGCAAATTCCATCTGCACTGTGTCCCTGGGCCAGCTAAAATAAAAGCACTTCTTCTTAAAATGACATCATTTTGCCCCGTTTTCTTTTCATCTCGGGGATCTTGCCCCATCTTTCGTCTCAGGGGCCTTTTGGGGAAGTACAACACTCCTTTCCTGTCTTCTCTTGCTTACGTGTTTTCGTTTCTCTGATGGCGGCCATTCCACCTGAGGAGAGGCAACTCCGCACTGCAGTTTTGACCCGAGTTCCCTGGCAAGTGAACTCTGGGCGTTCTCTCCGTCCCTGTGGGCCCTCTGTACAGCTTCTTTTGAGAAGCGTCTGTTGGGGTCACTTGTCTTTCTTAAAATTCAAGTTTCGCTTGCTTGTTTGCTTGCCGTTGAGCTGAGCTGTGGCTCTTTCTCTTGCCAGGCGGGAGCTCACAGCTGCACCCCATGGCTCCCTCCAGCCTCCTGGAGTCCGGCCACCAGTTTTGCAAATTTCTGCATACATGGACCGCGCTTTTGGGGACGTATCCAAGGTGCTTTGCCCTGACTAATGTCCCAGGACAGGTCTGCTATGTTTCTTGCAGTAATTCCATAGTTTTAGGCTTTTGTTTTGAGCATGGTATTTACAGTTAATAAAAACAACTAACTGAATATTTAACAAGAGCTAGTAGAGGAGATTGGGAATGTTCCAACCCCAAGAAATGATATAATATCCACAGAGACAGATACATCGTTTACCTTGATCTGATCATTACGAATTGTTACAGCTACTGAAATGACACACTGGCCCCAAACGTAGGCACAATTACTACATATCAATCAGAAATAGTTTTCTTAGTCTGGCCCACCCAACAGTTAGTGTATCAACTGTAATAAATATAAAAATTACTGAGACATTTTATTCTCTTTTCCCAAAATAAATCTCTAAAAAATCCGACATATCTTTCCTGTATGCTCGTGGCATACCTCAGTTCAGACACAGGGTTTCATGAGACACTCCTGACCTGTATTATAGGTTTGATAAAAGTTTTAGTCGGAAAAGTAAATTCACACATTCAACACGCCCCAAACACACTTGAAAGCTCTTCGGCAATGGAACCAAGTGTTTGTGTTTCAATTAAAATTAATTACAGTTAAATAAACAAAACGCTGTGCCCCTGCCGCAGGAGCCAGGCTGCCCCTGCGGCCAGGTCTGACATTGGGGGGCCGTCGTGTGCTCTCCCAGTGCACACCATGGAGCAGACAGCAGAAACCTTCCCTGCATCGGTGTCTCTGCTTTTCTGCAAAGAAGCCTCAGTTTAACGGAAGGTCGTTCACAGCTGGGAAGCTCCTGCCCCAAGGACTTCGGTGGTAGAGGCTTTTCAATGGGTGGAGTTTGGGGCAAATCATGACTCAAGGACACCGAGAGTCAGCTCTTATAAAACTTGACTCTCCCAGCCTTTGAGGCTGAGAGACAAGGACAGGGGACTTGGCTCAGTGACATAAGCACCTGCCTGGCAAGTGCAAGGTCCTGAGTTCAGTTCCTGGTACCAAAAATAAAGATGAAGACTGAACTCAGACCAGCAAAGACATCCTCCCCTGTCCTCCTTCAGGATTCGCTGACAGGTGGGAAGACACAAACAGTGGCAGCCTCTCCCACAACTGTGCAGCGGCGTTCCCTTCTGTGAAACTAAGCGTCCCTGAATTTATTGGCGGTGACAAAGTTGTCTGATGGAAAGTCTAATTTCTCAGTCTCCCTTGATAACAACTGTGTCCTTTGTTTTTGGCAGAATGTCATTAGCAAAGAGCTTCGGGGAAAATCTTATTAAAACAGAGGCGCTGACTCAGCTCCTAAGAGCCTCTCTGCCCTGGCATTTACTCCTCCCAGCTGCATGAAACACGGATCTGATGACTGTCACTGCAGCAGCCATGTTGGGCCCCGAGGCAGACATGCTAATAGATGACCACTGTCCCCTGGAGCCTCCCATATGGAAGACAAAGGGCTCTTTTACTTACTTTGAAAAATTGTAGTTGGCATAATCAATCTTCAGAAATTCAACAGTCTCGGAGCCTTTTAAGTCTGGGATGTTCTTCTCTTTAACTATTTGTTCCATCATCTCCATCCCCGCTTGAACACCTGAGAGGGAAACAGGCCGAGGTTTGCGGGTGATAATGCCTTACACACAAGTGCATCGTGCCACCTGCAGTGCACTACAGAGAAGACAGAGGCCCAGCGAGCCACGCTACTGCTTCCCCTCGGCAGGTGGAGACGCGGGTCCTCACAGAGCCGGCGTCCCCAGACGCTGTCATCCTGTGGCCAGGGCTGGTGACATCGTGCAGGGAAACCGCGGGTACCTTCACGTTTGGTACACTGTAGGGATCGGCGGGAGGACGTGGCCGAGAACGAGGGGCACCCGCCATCACACCTGGGCGACCCGGCTCCAAACCTTCTCAGCTCCTGAAGGTGAGTCCACCCTCACCTCTGTTTCCACTTTCTTGTGGATCTGCAGTCCCGTGCCCAGGGGCTCTCGGCCCACCTGCAACTCTAATAACCATGCTGTGCCACCTACCCGGACACACACGCACCACCACAGAGGGTCCAAGCCCCTCGGAAAACCACCGGAGTGAGTGGAAATTGCCCCGAAGTTCCCGCCTTACGCCCTCCAATGCACCCTCATCTGGAGCTGGTGATGTTACTGTGTGTGGGGACAGTGGGGGGACTCGAGGCCCTGTGGCAGTATGCCTCCCCCTGGTGACCGCTTCAGGTGACACCTTCTCCCTGGCCACCTAGGAAGCCCTGGAGTAGCACCTGTCCCAGGCCCCAGATGGCCACAGTCATGAGCCTCCCTGGGGGCCACAGCCAGGCTTCTGAGACACCCACTCACCGAAGTCCAGCGCCCGCTGAGTGACCCTCGCCTTGATCCCAGCATAGGTGGCCTGGGTGGGTGTCATGCAGAGACTCCACAGGAGCAGGCAGCCCCAGAAGACGGGGCCCATCTCAGACGGCACCTGCGGGGAGCAACACAAAGGTCCTGGTTCTCTTCTGTCTCCCCATGCACGGCTGCAGCCAGTCAGCCTTCCTGGGTCTCAACTCTGTGCGCTCCAGATCTCCTGCATCCATCCCTTGGCCTCCCCTGTGGATCCAGCGGGGCTCCCCCTGGTGAGCAGGTATTAGACACAGAGGACAGAGGTGGACACACGTGGGCCCCAACCTGTTTCTCCCACTCGAGGAACCACACAGGCATGTGAAAACACACACACAACTCATGCATGCACACACACATGTATGCACATTAACACGCACATGCACACACATGTACATATGCATGCACACTAATGTGTACACCAACATGTACCCTAACATGCACACACATGTGTGCTTACAACACTGCAGGCTGGCCTGACTGCCCCACAGGGAACTCAGTGCCAGCACTTTGTCCCAGGAAGGACACGTGGGGGAAGGGTGTCCTGACAGATCCGAGCAGACAAGTGGGTGGCTGGGAAGGTGGCACAGTGGCAGGGTGATGCCGGGGGGCTGGGGCTAAAGGCTCAGCTCAGCATCGAACTTTCCCTCCTGCTGTCCACCTCCGGGACACTGTCCTGAGCACCCAGGCTGGGCTCTTGGCCAGTTTTCCACGCGTCGGTGCTGGGCAGTCAGCTCCCCAGTGTGACGTCCCGGCCCTGTCACACACCACACTGAAGAGACTGAGTGTGCCAGGCCAGCGAGCGTCCTCCTCTGCGAGCGTCCTTCTGCCACTTCTGTGTGATCTATGTCCACCCGGCTGAGTGTGTGTTATGGTTGACGTTTAGAAGTTTTACTAAGAGACTCAGCAGGGAGCCAAGGTCCTTACTGTGTAAATATCCTTAGGGGAGGTGATGGCCTGGGTACAATATAAGGGGGGAAAGAGGCTTGCTTCCCCCAACCTTTTCCTCTGGCTGCGGCCTTGAAGTGTTGCCCTGGTGTCATGGCACCTCTGCCTTGGAACCACCTGATTACAGATTGAAACCTCCAAAAATTGTAAACCTTTCCTTCCCTATTTTTGGAGCCAGGTGTTTTATCTCAGCAAGGAGAGAAAAGTAACCAAGACAGGATTTGGAGCGTGGTCATTGCCGTGACTCTACTTGACCATGTGTTCAAGAGCCTTTGGGAATGGCTGCGGGAAGAGAGGAAAGTTCAGAGATGTCGCCTGCAAGAGTAGAGCTGTAAGGCCTTAGGCTTTCCTGAACAGGAGATTCTGGTCAGAGCGCAAAAGACCAGAAGGCTGACAGAAGTGCTGCTGGGAAAGGCCAGGCTCGGAGTTTCTGGGAAGGAGGACTGCATTGGTTGTTGGACTCCAGACAAGGTATGTTACGGTTTCACAGAAAGTTTGTCTGCATTTTGGTCACAGCCAGAGACTTTGCTTGAGATTAAGACTAAGGGCAGCAGACTAATTAATCTAGCAGAAGAAATTTCAAGACAGTCAAACATTGAGGCAGTGGCATGGCTTGTTGGGGGCTTTTAGCCAGTTTTATATCGAGTCAAGAGCAAAGAGCTCAGCAGGGTGATTTAAAACATTGTGAGTTTGGCCAGAAAGGAAGCTCCTGTAAAGCTGCGGACTGTGAAGACAGAGCTGGGATCTCCATTGCTGAGAAGGAGAACAGGAAAGATAGCCTGAGGGCAGCACAGGATGCACTGGTGGGTCTCACCCTTTGCAAAAAGCCTCAAAACTGCAAAAGTGAAAGACTGCTTCGAGGCGAAAGCCACAGAACGCCACGTTCTGGACTGGTGGCGGAGGCTGCATAATATTCCAGAATGGTGGCACCACAGAAAATCTGTTCCTCAGAATTGGTTTCAGAGTGCCCAGCAATCCAGACATCCAGTCCCTACAGCAAGAGAGGAGAGCCTGGGTACTGCTGCAGTTGGCAGCAGACCTCGGCATTACCCACGTGGTGCAGGTATCAGGTGCACACAGAATGCAAGGGTCCTGAGGTTGAAAAGGCTTCCACCCTGATTTCAGAAGGCCTGGGAGGCAGGCAGTGCGCCCCCGAGAGGGCAGTGTGTGGAGTGGTGAGGGTGAAGCCAAAGGTGCAGTGGAGACCCAGAAGTTTGGAAAAGCTAGGAGCATGGATCATATAGGGAAACTTGCAGTGAGGAAGCAAAGCCAGCCCCAGAGAGAAGCCATGGGACTGGTAACCACCCGAAGTACCTAACCCTAACCCTAGGGTTAGGGTGGAGCCACACAAGCCCTTTGGAGCTCACAATTTACCACAGATTGCTCCGGGACTTCACATTTGCCCTGCTGGATTTTGGACTTGGGTTGGTCCCAATCCTTTGTATTCTCCTGTTTGTAACTTCTGGAATGGCAGTGTTTATCTTGTGCCATTATACGTTGGAAATGTTTAACTTTGTTTTCATTTCTGTGAGAGCTGGCAGCTAAGGTTTGCCTTACATTTTGGAGGAGGCTTGGGACTTGAACTTTTCAGCAATGCTGGAAGGACTTTGGCAGCTCTTAGAGCTGGATGAATGCCTTTTGCATAAAGGGATGTGCATGAGTCTTTGGCGGCACAGGACAGAATGTTATGATTCTAATGTGATATAATGTTGATAGACTTAACCTTGGCTCTTAAAGATTGTTAAACTTGTGCTACAATGTCCAAGTTGTGAACCGGTAAGAATAAGTTTGCCTTTGTGTCTGGACACCTGTCTAAAGAGATGTGTCCAAGGCCCAGGGATTTAGCTCAAGGGCATCAGTGAGGCCATGAGTTGATCTCTGGTACAAAAAAGAAAAAAAAGATAAAACAACCCGCCTGCTTGCCAAGTTGACAAGGGTGGATTGTTATGGTGGATACATGGTATCACCTTGAGTTTAGAAGTTTAACTAAGAGACTCAGCAGGAAGCCAGGGTTCTTACTTTGTAATTATCCTAGCCCTGGGTAAGAGGAGAGAAAGGAGATTTTGTGAGTGCTACACCCTCCCTGAGGGTGGGGTGGGGGCTTTGTACAGTATAACAGGAAAACAGGCTCGATCCCACCCCACCCCCACCTCGCTTTTGCTCTGGCTGCTTTTCCTGGTTGTTGCCTCTGTCCCATGCCACCCTGCCTCGGAGCCAGCTGATTACAGACTGAAACCTCCAATAATTGAAAGCTAAATAAACCTTCCTTCCCTAATTTTGGGAATCAGGTGCTTTGTCTCAGGAACAAGAGAAAAGTAACCAATACGGCGTGTGACTCTCGTGTGGCTACCCCAGTTCTCAACCCCTCACCACAGCCCTGGGCTCAGCCCAGCGTCACAGCACAAGGACGGTCAGCACCGCTCACTCCTGTCTCCCTGCCCCTCCTTTGTCCCTTCCCGGCAAGGAAGCTCTCCACCCACAGCTCGCGTGCCTGGGAAAATGCAGGCCGGCCAGACCATGCTGCGGAGAGCCCTGTGCACCTCGGTACTCCCCGCTGCACACATGCTGCCTCCCCAACCCCTGCTGCTGCAGCTCCCCACTCTCTTGCAGGGCCCTGCTGCCTGGCGCTGCGCCTCCCACGCCACGTGCCCGGCTCTCTTGCCACCTTTGGGGACCCCCACCCCACCACAGGAAGGGACCCCTTCAGTCACCTAGTGTCTCTGTGCCTCCCGTGATCGCACTCTCTCCGGAGCGTTTATTCCATTCCTCCTGACTCCCCGAGCTGTCCTCTTCCCTTCCCAGCCCCGGGCCGGAGCCCATGTCTGTTCCCACACGCTGTTCACTTCTCTGCTCGCTGTCCGCCTCCTGCCAGAATGCCAGCGCAGGAGGGCAGTGACCTCACCTGCAGGGCAGGCTCCTTGCCCGGGGCGCTGTGGGCAATTTATAGGGTGGCGGGAGGGGTCAGTGAGTCAGTGAGGACGGAGCTGCCCAGACCAGTGCCCTGCGCCTCTGCCGAGCTGAGCGATGGCTCTGCACAGGGCACCATAAAGCACAGGGCTGCCGTCAGCCAAAGCGCCAAGCAGGTGCAGGATGCTGGTCCATCATCGGAGAGGGCGTCCAAGGAGCCTGGGGAGCAGGCCAGGGCGACGAGGGGACTCCAGAGGGACGGAGCACCGGGGCTCAGGCCAGTGGCTGCCTGCCCACTGGCGTAGAAGGATCCCTTCGGGCTGCTGCTCAGGCCGTCCCTGGAGGGAAGCCCCGGCTCCAGGAGCATCCTGCTGGGGCAGCCCCAGGGGCCTTTGGTGAGAGCAGGCTTCTTCACCACAGTGGGCAGCAAGGGGAGGAATGGGGCACCAGAGTCCGGACCCCCCAGGCCAAACACTGAGGGGAAGCAAACATTCACCAACTCCAGCAGAAGACTCTGGATAGCTAAGGAGGGTTCTGGAAAAGGCTGGGGATTAGGGAAGAAAAGTCACACCATGGTGTGTGAGTGAGCGTGTGCGTGTGCCTGTGCGTGTGTGTGTGATTTCTCCCCACTTCCACGGAGGAAGAGCACAATGAACCGAAGTGAAGGTTACCCACTAAGGCAATGATGACACAAAGACTACATTTGCGTGTCTTTACCACTTACGGCACTCGCCGGGCAGATCCTAGACACGCACACCCAGAGACCGGCAAAGCCTGCACGACGGGTCCAGGTCCCTGGGCCCTGGGCCGCCCATCGTGCTCCTCCGGCTCGTCATTCATACGTGTGTATGTAAATTCCCTGACAGGCTATGTAAATGTGAGGGTTCATATTTTCATTTGGGAATTTTAAATAGGAAATTTAAATTCCCAGATGGTTTATGCCATCTTTACTATGGAAAAGATTCAGTATACCCCGGGAAATTTTCAACCATCAAAGTACAACCCTCTCTGCGCTTTCCTGGGCACAGACGCAGCAGTCAAGTATGTTTTCCCGGGGCTTCAGGGGCTCTTCCTGGAGCAGTGTGCTCCCGTGAGGGTCCGTGAACCCACAGCTACGGCAGAGCACTGTGACTTTCCCTGCGAGATTTCATGAGGGGATGAAGCATGGGCGTGTGAGGCCGGCAGCTGGGCTGTGTGGTTAGGACGGAGATTAGGAGCAGCAGAGGCAGGAAGGGAGCCTCGTCAGGCAGGGCAGAGACTCTGGAAGGTTCAGTAATTGGCCGGCAGGTAAGGGCAGAGCGCGGGGCCTGTAATAGGAGCACCCCGGGGGACTTCAAAGCCTCCCCAGCAAGCTCCTGGGCTGTTGCTTCTGAAGAATTGTTTCTTTCCAGAAGCCACAGCCTCCGTGGTCACTGCATTCCCATGCAAAGGCACAGACAGAATCACCCTGCTAGATTCAGTGCTCCCTGCCCGGCCAGGCCAGCGACCGGAGGAAGGAGGCAGGGGCAGAGTCTGGAGAACTCCTGACACTCAGCCTCGCTCGGCTCCTCAGAGCCCTGGCCGATCTGAAAAAGCCCATGGAGGAGGGTTGAGTGGTGAGACGCAGCCTTTGATGCGGAGGCACGCTGAACAGTCTCAACTCGTGGGTTTTAGGGGTCCACGCCGTGAGGTTTTCCAAAAGACCAGGTGGATGAAATGACTGAACACACAGGCGTGGGACACGGGCGCTGTGCACAGCCTTCAGGGCTCAGCCCTCCACCTGGTTTTGCAGCAAGCTCTCTGTGACCTTGGGACCTCCTGCCAAGCTTTTCCTCCCAAAACAACACACTTCATAGGCACAAGCTCAGGACGACGGAGGTGTCGAGAGGGTAGTTTTGAGGTGGTAGGTTTAGGTCACCAGTGCGGTTTAGGACCCAGTTCCAGAGCACAGAGGTGGGAGCAGCCACTTAGCACCATCCACACCCACCGAGAGGCAGCACAGTGCTTCTGTCCCTGTGCTGCCCCTGTGACTCGAGGCACACGTGTGTGCGGAGCCCCGAGCAGCCCCAGCCCCGACCCTCACACAGCTGAGCCCAGCTGGGCCCCAGTGACAGAACCGACAAGCAAAACCCAGGGAAACCTGGGAGACGCCAGAATGACTCACACCCGGGCGGCGGCTCCTCCAGGTGTCTTCCAGCTCCCCGAAGCCTGCAGCGCGCTGGCACCTGTGGGCTGGCACAGACGTGGGACCTTCAGGGGGCTCTCACCTCAGGCCCCAGGATGACTGTGACCGACCGGGAGCGCTGTCCTTCCCTCTGCCAGGAGCCCGACGCGTTCTCCACCCGGCCCAGATCGCCAGTATAATTAGGACTGAATCACTGCTCTGGCGGCTTCTTTTAAATCCCTCTTTCAAAACGCGACAGAGCATTGCTTCACCACCATTACCCAATGGCCAGAATGAACCGCACGGACTCTGCCCAGCTGGGCGGACAGCACCACCCAGCAGGGAGCACTCACGGCCCTGCGGGCTCGCAGACAGCATCACTCTGTGAAATGTTCTCCCATACTTCACCATCGTGAGTCGACTAAGACTCTGAACCAGCGTCTGAAAAAGGATCTCGAGAAAGCTGCCTGGGGGTCCGCTATCAGAGCAGGTCGGAAAGCGCGAGACTGACAGCCAGGGCGCCTGAGTCATCCCCTGCCCCACTGTGCAGGAGCCAGCGCTACCAGTGCCTTCCAGGCCTGCGTCTCTGGGACGTGGTGGGGACAGATGCCTCAGCCCCCTAGCAGTGCCTCCAGATTCAGACCCACTCCCACTCCGCCCGGGCCTCTGTCACTGCCTGCTGGCAGTTGGAGGTCTGCTCGCCGGAGGGGACTAGGGCCCTCTGTTCTGCTGGTGCTGGGGAGTGAACCCAGTGCCTTCTCACTGGGCTAGGTCTCCAGCCCATTTTTACTTCTTTTGAGTCAAGGTCTCACTAAGTGTGTAAGTTGACCAGGCTGGACTGGAACTTGTGACCCTCCTGCCTCAGCCTCCCAGAGAGCTGGTATCTCATGTCTTATCTAAAACTTCCTGGGTGAAATACAGTGACAAGTCTTCCTGGTCTTCTCAGGATGTGTAGGAGTTTTAGTCTCAGGACCAGGCAGTTTCCAGGCAGTGTAGCTCCCTGGGGAGAACCCCGGCATGGTCCCTAGGCACTGTCACTATCTGGCTCTCTCTAAAGCTCCCTGAGTGACTCCACCTGCACCACCCAATTTCTCAGGGGAGAAACGGAACGAACCGTTCCTAACTGGACAGGATCTGACGGGTAAGCACCTGGATAGCACGAGAACATGCAGTCAAGACTGTAAGGGGTTGCACAGTTTGGTCCACCAGCGTGGAGCCTGCAGACAGCATCCACGTGAACTCGCTCCATAGGCCGACTCTTCATTCAATCAACAAACACTTACCGGGGTGTACTACATGCAAAGTTCCACTTAGTGAGAAAACGAAAGGAGTTTATAGTGTGGCAGGTGACACAGAATGAACATGCAGACAACAAACACGCGTGCGGAATGAACGTTCTCTGCTGCAGTGTGGGTGCTGCTGCTGCTGTCCCCGAAGCCAGCCATGGAAGGCGTGGTCCCCGGGTGGCACCGTGGGAGGCAAAGGGGTCTTTGAGAGGCGGGCCCTGGTGGGGAGTCCTCTGGTCACTGGGGCTGGGCTCTCCCTTTCCTCTCCTGTCTCCTGGCCACGAGGGGAACACCTTTCCTCTCCTGCACACTCCGGTCTTGACCTGCTCGTCCGGGGCACCGCAATGGTGCCGAGCCGTGCCGGGTCAGGAAAGGCAGCACTCTCTGGTGTGTTGTCACAGTGATGGAGAGCTGACCAGCACGGGCTGCGAGGGAGTTTCAGGTGTGACCCGAAGGAGCCTGTGACATCGATCGAACTGGGATATTTTTGTGTGCTGGAAAAATGACAGAAGCAGACACGGAAGGTGAATGCCATCATACACCACGTGGGGGAGTTTCATGCGACGCCTGCACAGATTTCTGTGCCTTCCCAGTCTTCCTCGGCTGGGGCGTCTGTCCCTTTTCCCTCACTCCCTCTCTCTCCCTCTTTAGGAAGGAAGGAGCCTTCCTTTCCAGTGCAGACACCCTCCGGATCCCGGGCTGGGACGGGCTCAGGATCCCGCGCTGGGAACCCACCCAGCCGCTGGCATCCCATACAGGCTTTGCTGTCCTCTGGGCCCATCCTTCCTCAGGTCCCTTCCTCGTGCCCTAAGTCACCCTGGCTGCATGGCCTCGGAAGTGCTGGCCAGCAGCAGCTCAGCTGAACCCGGTGAGGAATAAGGATCCACCAGACGGTACACGCTCCCGCAGCTGTTACCTCCCCAAATAGATCCCCTGTGGCGCTGGTCCAGTCAGTGGCTGTGGAGGGCCCCGGTATTTATTCCTTACTGCTGTTCTCAATTTAGAAATTAATGAACGTTTCTCCTTTATATAAGAGCGCTGGCTTTTTTCTTCCCAGTACAGGAATCGAACTCAGGAACTCGCACTTGCCAGGCAGGCGCTTGTGCCACTGCGCCACATTCCCAGCCCGATATCCCTGTTTTAAGCCAATTTATAGGCCCGGAAGAAGTGGGTTGTTTATGGAGAAAACAGCACAATTCACTGGAGCAGAAAGTAGCTTTTAAAAAGGCAGCTCAAATTCTTGGAATTTAGGAAAGAGACCTAAAGAGAGAATAGCCTGCTTCTTTTCATCTGGAGAGGGCTTTTAAACGTGAGGTAATGGCTTCCCTTTGTGGTAAGGAAGCCCCATGGAGCAAACCTGCCAGTTTCACCGCTGCAGACCGTGCAGGCAGCAGGGCCCCACGTGTCCCCACTCCTGTGGGGTTCCAGGCCTGGCACAGGCTCCTGAGTAGATGCCTGCTGACCCAGCTCCTCACGCCGCAGGCCCAAGGCGGGATTAGTATCTCACTTATTAATGGTTGACAGGGCACATTTAATGAAAACTCAAAAAATCATAATTCAATTATTGTTCATTAAAGAAAGACGTCAGGCTACCCACAGGGGAGCTGAGCCTCCCACGCTTTTGGTCTCCATGGCACGTGGCCTGCCCTAAGAAGGGCAGAAGGAGAAGTCCACACATCAGGCTTTTTTTGAGCATGGAAGACAAATTATGCCATTTTGTAGGGAGCAGAAGTGGCAGGGACCGGGTACCTGGAGGGGCAGTGTGGGGGCAAAAGACACTTGGAGCCCAGAGCACTCACTGTCTGCCATCTGTGTGGGGGAATCTGGCCACAAGGAGCCCCAAAGAGGGCCGTCAGTGACAGAGAGAATGACGCCGTCACCTGGGGAGCGTTTGCTGTGCTGTGGTGGCAGTCACACATGGGTGGCTTCTCCGAGTCCTGGCCAGCGGTGTGAGGAACTCCCAGGGCCTCTGTTGTATGCAGAGGAGAAAGAATTTGTCCAAGCACAGGGATCACGCTCAGATTCGGGCCTGGTGTGCCTCTCTCAGGAGGTCCCCCTCTTAATCACTGAGCTATGCCAGCTTGCAGGTGGGCCCACAGGCCAGCCCACAGCCCCAGTGTACAGCAGGTGGTGGGGGTGATGCCGCAGGTAGGAAACTCATCTGGTTTCTGCAGGAGATAACTGAACCCATGCGAATAGCATAGAGGTCTGTGTTTTGTTAATTAATTAATCTTTTTGAGACAGGGTCTCACTATGTAGCCCAGGCTGACCTTGAACTTACTTTGTAGCCCAGGCTGGATTTGAAATCCAGGTGATCCTCCTGCCTCAGCCTTCCGAGTGCTGGCATTACAGGTGTACCCCATCATGGCCTGCAGAGGTCTGTGTTTTTGATCAGTGGTTTGCTCCTAACCAGGGGCAGTTTCCTGGAGCTGTCTAGTGAGAAGAGGGACTGCTCTGAATCGCCTGTCACCCAGATCTCTGTCCGCCCTGCCCCAGGCCACGCACCTCTGATCTCTGTGTGATGATGTTTCTAGGTGGGACCAGATGGGCTCAGGCCAAAGCTTCTTCCCATGGTGCTCAGGAATGGTTCATAGCAGACTCCCTCTTGGTTTTGAAAAATAAACCCACTCATCTGGGTTCCTCCCCTTGTTATCCGTTACCTCAAAGAGAATGACAGGTTTTTTACTGCACTCCAAGGGGAGTTTGAATTCTTACCAAAATCCCAGTGCAGCTGTGCACGACTCCTCTGAGACCCAAGGGCTGTCTCAGAATCAGACAGACAGTGGGACCATTTCTGAAACACTGGGAATCATAGGCGTGAGCTCAGGTCGGATGGAGCAGGGCCTCCCCACGTGGGCCATCACATGTTGAGCCATGTGATTCTTGGTCATGAGGGATGCTCTGGGCAGCGCAGGACGGTTAGCACACTCCTGACTCTGTCCTTAGATGCGGACGACACCTCTGCCTCTCACACTAAGACTGTGTCAAAGGTCTCCTGGAAGGCAAAGTCGTCACATGAGAGCCACTGAAATGAAGTTCAGCCCTGAAGACCTCTGAGCGATAGACTTTACTGAAATGGGCCCAGGAAGAGGGGGACATAAATATCTCTTAGTTCTTGTAGACACATTCACCGGGTGGACTGAAGGATTCACCACTCAGACTAAATCAGCTCTCATCGCAGCTAAGAAACTCCTCTCTGAGACAGCGCCTCCATTCGGTCCGCCCACCTCTCTAGGCTCCAACAATGGCCCATCTTTCACAGCTCAGATCACTCAGAATTTAGCTGCAGCTTTAGAAATCAATTGGAAATTACACTGTGCCTTCCAGCCTCAACGTTCAGGCCAAATAGAAAATGAACAGAAAAGGAAACTATCTCAAAACTGGCTCTGGAGACTGGCGAAAACTGGGTAAGTCTTCCTTTTGCCCTTCTGCATGCGCGATGTACCCCCCACCTCTAGGGCATTACTCCCTTGAGGCCATGTACGGTCGACCACCCCTTTGACTCCTCATGTCCAAGACGATCAGTTGGCTGCTGTCACTCGTGGGAAACTGTTAAGTCCTTACAGGCTCTCCTGCCCTTCTAGCACTGGACCCGCCGCTTGTTTCGGGGCCACCAGACTGTTCCTGAAAGACCTGATGACCCCTGGCAGCTCAACCTGGTGATTAAATTTACATCAAAGGTCACAACCCACATCCCTAGGCACCCGAGGGGAAGGACCTAAGCAGTCACCTTGAGCGCTCCCACGGCCATTGGATTAATCACTCCCATTTCAAGCCCACAATACCTGAGCCTCCAGCTAAGTGGACTATGTATAACTAATATCGTACCCGGATGGTCAGCACCTCAACCCTTGATTCTGGCTCTCATGGTGGTGGGAACAGGGACCTCAGTCCCTCACTTTGGGAAACATTCAGGCCTCTGGACTTTGTATTCGGTCTGTAAATTTCTCCTTAAAGCACTGCCCATTTTGAATTAATTGTAATTCAACTGTGTATGTACAAAATGTCCCTTACCCCCTCAGCCAACATTTAGTCTCCCTGCCGGGAACTTGGTTTGCCTGTACAAAGGGCCTCATCCCTTGCTCTCGTCTGGCCGTCTTCACTGGACCTGACCCTGAACTCTGTATCCTAACTCGTGTTCTTCCCAGAGTGTCCTGGTGTTCTGGAGAAGGAGGGAGGGAGCATATGGGGTCATCCAGCCTCACTAGCCCCAGTCCTAGTCCCTGTCCTTTTAGCATTAGAAGTAACTGTTTCCACAGCACCAGGAGCCACAGCCCTCATAGTGGGAAGCCAAAATGACCAGATACTAAGCAAAGACACAGCCCGAGATCTGGGCACACTGGAACAAAATGGTCATCACCTGGATGAGTCTAAACTCCCTGGCTGAGCTGGTCCTTCAGAACTGGCGAGGTCTAGAGCCTCTATTCTTAACACAGGCACCCGGGTCTATGCCTGGCCCTTGGTGAATCTTGTTGTTTTTAAGAAATCTTAATCAGCTCAGAAATCATCTAGCTGATAGGAAAAATGGGAGACATTATCAACAGAGTTGATTGAAATGTTTGTCCTCCATTGCCCCGTGGCTGACCAGCCTACTCTCGGCTCTGGCAGGACCCCTGAGTCACTCAGGAAATGGAGTGACCAGCCACACTGTGGGATGTCGGGAAAGAATCTAGATGTTTTGCAGAAGTCTGGGCAAGCCTAGGAGTGGGAATCCTTTGGCACAGAAACTTGCCTATTGTACATATCTTCTCTGCCATGACCCATGTGGCTCCTGAGGTTCTTGGGGTTCAGGACCTTGAGAGGATGAGAAAAATAAAGAAAAGACAAAGCTGGGGCCAGGTGGAGCCCTCACCCTCCTGATGGAAGGAAAGGAGCTACCTAACCACTGCAGCACCTTTATTTACTACTGGGAAAGATGATGTCAATTTCAGGCCCTCTGCCTAGCAACTCCTTTGCCTGGCAGGCCTGGGCCCCTTGCCTTCTTGGGGCTGGAACAACTTATTATTATGGTCTCTCTGTTTTTTCTGGGCTGTCCTTGCTTTGGCCCCACACATGTGGTCAATCTCCAGCTTTAACGGCTCCCTACATCTCCCTAGTGGTCAGTTGAAGCTGGAAGAGCTGTGTTGGAGAGCTCTGTAGATCCTTTTATTTTAAGTGCAGTCCAAAGATTTTAAGTCTCTGCATTCTGCAATTGAAGCCCTGTGCAGGCCATTAATCTGTTATAGGAGTCAGCCACCAGTGCAGCTGGCAAGTGCAGAGAGGTATTAGTGATTTGAGTTTCCTTTATAACATACTACTTTAGCATTGTTTTATACACCTCTAGTATTCAAGACCAAGTTGAGGTGAGACCTGTTTTAAACACAATCAATTTTTGTTATCTATCAACATCAGTTAGGTCTCCTCAGGAACCCGGAAACCAGCTACAGCAGCTGTTGGTTCTTCTGTCACTGTCAGCCACTCGGGTGAGTCACGGCCATTGCTTGACCAAGTTGATTTCTGCGAAAGCTTGGGAGACTTTTGTTCCGGGTGACTCTCCTTAGGCACACCACACACTGATGATCACTTTCCTCAGTGGTCTCACAATCTTCTTGGTCACAAGAGGGACTCACTGAGTATAGGATGGCGCAGCAGAGGTTCCCTTATGTCCTGAGTTCTCATTGACCTTGAAGGGCCAGGGCCAAAATACTGGCTGTCCTCTTAGCCCATCTGCCTCTCTGATTGTTGGTCTCCAAACCTCAGTTGTTGAACATCCAGAAGAAAAGACTGATAACAGTACAATGTAGTGAGAGGCATTATCATCTTATCTAAATATCAAACATCTTACAACATAAAATAGAACCATGACTCCCAAGCTGCCCGCATTCTGCTTGGCAAGCCAAAAGTGCGTGCAGCACTCTCCAGCCCATGGGGAAGCTTTGGCCCTTTACTCAAGAGACTAGTAAGACCCTGCCCAGCCTCCCACATCACTGGAGGATGCATCAGGAGGTCCCTTTGGGCCTATCTGGGCCCCGCCCAGTAACCCCCCAGCTGACCACAGCTGCCTGCATTCGGCTTGGCAAGCCAAAAGTACACCCAGTGCTCTCCCGGCCACGGGGAAGCTTTGGTGCTTGCTGCAAGCTGGAAAAGCCCTGCCCAGCGACCCCAAGTGGCTGGAGCCATCTGCTAAGGTCTGTCTAAGGACCTCCATTCAGCTGGGGAAACTCCCTACAATAGGGACAGATATTCTCAACCCAAGAAACAATTGAGACCTTGCCTTTGGCTTCCTTAAGGGAATATAGGAAAATGACAAAATAAAAGAGCAAAATGCAATCGCAAGCCTCCAGCCCATCCTAAGCAAACTTAGGAGACATGGACATAGAAGAAAATGCAAGCCCTACACCTGAAACTTCTGAAATGATAGCAACTGAAGTTAGGAAACAACTCCGGGAAGCTATAAAAGAACTCAGACCAGAAATAATCTCCCAGGTAAAAGAAAAAAATGATAAAGGTAGTGGAAGAAATGCTGACACATCTAAAGAAGACATAGTTAAAAAATTAGAGGAACAAAGCAAAAAGATGGAAACCTGGAATGAACAATATAAGAAACAATCAGAATGCATGAAACGGATTCAAAGAGATATACAGTAAGTCAAAAATTCCATCGAAAGTTGGCAAAACTGCCTCAATGAAAGTGAAGATACTTTCGGACCTCGAAGACAAGATTGCAGCTAGTGAACAGGAAGGGAAAGAGCTTTTAAAAATAACAAGGAATCAGGAAATAACAATTCAACAGCTGCAAAATGATGCAAAGATTATTGGTCTTACGTACAGTTTTGTTCAATTCTTTTATACCAGCTGATACAGGCTACTCTTTTTAGGATAACAAGAGGCATAATGGTAACCATTGTTGATCACCTAGTAATCCTTTTTTTTTTCATTTTATACTATGTCCATCCTCCTGATCTGACTCTGTTTTGCTTTGTCACATTGGGGTTTTCTTTGGTCCATCTTGTTTTGTTTTGTTTTTTTGTTTTTTGGCTTTTTAAAAATCTTTTTCCTTTTCCTCTTCAAAGAAAAAGTTATAAAAACTGTGGAAGTAATGGAAACTAAAATGTGTGATTGTTAGCGTAAAAAAGAGAGGAAGGGGTGGAAGGTGATCTAAAGGATATAACTGCAATTATATTTAAATGTGTAGGATAGAGAACCATATTGCTGAGTTTTTCTTGGATCATTGAACAGTACTGACTGCAATCTCACTGTATTAATCTCCACTTTGTATGCTTTAATTTTGTAATCTGGACAGCTGTTTGTAAGATGACAATGTGTGATCTATTAACTGGTGAACTCTTACTGTATATTTTTTCTCTTGAAATTCTGTATTACTTCTAGCCTTTTACTGTCTTGCTTCATTTAGTTTTGTTTTTTTCTTTTAAAAAAAGATGATACAAAGAAAAACAACATAATATTGATAGAAATAAATGAAAAGGTGACAACACAAATGATATCAAGAAGCTATTTACAGAAATAATAGCTGAAAAATTTCCCAAACATGAGAATGGAAACTGACATACAGCTCAGTGAAGCATATAGAACTCCAAATAGCAATAACCAAAGTAAAACTATACCCAGACATATAATAATCAACATCCCAGAAATCCAACATAAGCACAGAATAGTAAAA